GTGATCTCATCTCAAGAAGATCCTTGATTTAATTACAACTACAAAGATCCTGTTTCCAAATCAGGTCACATTCACAGGTTCTGGGACATGGACATACCTTGCTGGGCCACCATGGAACCCACGACACACTCCTGCCCCAGCAGTCATAATGAACCTGGAACTTCTTAAAAAAAAACTTGTCCATGTTTTTAGTTTTTAAGTCTCTCTCTCTCTCTCTCTCTCTCTCTCTCTCTGTCTTTTTTTTTTTGTTTCTCCTTATGTTACCTCCTCTAATATCTAACCAAGTAGGTTGTTGCCAAGAGAAGACTTAAAAAAGAAAAACACAGCTACTTTTCACATGAAGAAGCTTTATATTTTCAGTTCAAATGCTGTGATGCCAAAATCGGTCACCTAAAAATGGAATGGTTAGCGTCCCAGAATTCCACCCCTGATATGGAGGAAAGCGGTTTCATTTCTCCTCCATTGCCTCCCCACCCATAATGTTTCTTGGAGTATTTTGTGATGGAAAATCGACCAAGTATTTTGGAAACCTGAGCAAAGATGGCCAAAGGGTGTGACTCACAGAAGTTGGGAAGTGAGAACTCTGTAGAGTCATTTTTTCTGCAGAATCAGGTGGGGCTTGCGGATGCCGGAGGGGCCAGGGTCTTCTCATTTCTGCAAGTGATCATTTCCCTTTGCTCTTTACTCACTTCCTTTTCCAAGTTTGTTTTTCCACATTAGTCTGTCAAATAAGAATTAGACTCCTTTCTTCTTCTTAGCTGAAAGGATACTTTTTTTCATGTTCTTCCCTAACCTCTCCCTTTCTCGTACTGCTGGAATATCCTTTTAATACCAGGTTGAACTGCCCCGGGGTCAGTCACCTCTTGTTCTCCGAGGCTGGGTTTGCTCATGGATGCGCCTTTGGCTCCCAAACTTTGGCACCTTCCCTATTCTGCTTTGCAAAATAGCAGACCCTTTGGGAACTTTCCAAAAGATATTCACCCAAGGTCCTGATACAGTTTTTTTGTTTTTTGTTTTTTTTTAAGGCAAAAAAATGATCACATTTGGCTCTGTGAACTGTCATCTGTAAATGTGTTTGGAGTAAGACAACCTCCTATGGTCGTAGCCAGAGAAAGCTCATTGCATTTTGGTTCCAGAGAAATGATCGAAGATGTTAGCTGGCTGTGCCACACATGTACACTGTAGCAGGAGCATGTACCAAACATATGGGTCACAGAAATCAGAGAGCATTTCTACTTTCCCCCCTCAAAATTGTAGGGCAACAGCCAGAATTAGCATTTATGAAGAGAAATTGGCAGGTGCTTGGAGCACATAGGTTCAAGAAGGAGTAAATTTGTTTAGTCAGTGTATTCAGAACAGGANCACCATCATTGCGCTCTTCCCGGGCGAGGCAGATCAGTCGCTGGCTTCTGGACGGCCGCTCACTGCGGCTGCTGGCTGCTCATGCTGGCTGCTGGCTACACACGGTAGCCCATGGCAACCCACTGCCACAGAGGCTGCAGCCTACGCCGTCGCCGGCGACTCACAGCAGCCCAGCTCCAAGTTGAGCTGTTGTTCAGCATCTTAGCTGTGGAGGACAGTGTCACTGGCCCTCATATGTGAGATCCAAACCGTGGCCCTCTGGCGTCCCAAGCCAGTTCTTAACCATCACGCCACTCAGCCGGCCCACTGCATGTTTTTTAGAACCACTGTTTATTCTTCTGCCTTCAGCCTTAAGGCAGGTATCTATATTACAGGATTATTTTTCTCCCAGAGCTGAAATTATATTACTTTTTTATAATCACATTCACTCCCATTGACCTTTTAGGAGTATTTACCAAAGTATTTTATCCTGAGGGAAAGTAGGTATTGGTTGAGGATCATTCCATTAATTGATCAGAAAAGAGTTTTACATGTTTTACATGAGACTTTCTAGAAACAGGGGTGACCAGGGCTTGGAGCCATAGGATTGGGAGCACCCACGACCCCCAAACCCATTAAAACGGTGGGGCCTGATTTGCCCCTTTTTTCTGAAAAATGTAGCAAAGTCAAAGGTTAATTAGCTAATGGGCCTTGAGCTCTGGAAACCTGGACCAATGTTAGATAATCTTCTGATCAGACATTAGTAGAATGTGAAATCAACCAGTTTCAGTATAAGATGAGATTTGTAGAGTAAGTTGCTACTGAACCAATTAAAGCAGTCGTCATTTAGCAATATACATGAACACACACCATACAGTTGTTCAATTGTAACATATCCTGGGACAGAGATTTGCTGAAAATGGTCAAGGGGACCCAGATGAGATAAGCCGATCATTCTGTTTGGTGCTGTGGAGATGATGAAAAAGGCAAAACCATGGCATTCACTAGCAAGCCAGGTAAAACAAAGTAACTTTCTTCCATTTGAGTTGATAGGTAGGTAGTATGAAGGTTGAACCGGGTAATATTAAATTTTACAAGTAGTGACTTCTTTCAGAGTGATCTAAAAACACATTTTTCTGCTTTGTAAAACAGCATGAATAAAGAAAAGCAGTCGCTCCAAACGACAGCCCAAAACATTGAACATACCTAGTTCACAGCAGGTGCTTCCTGTTGTTTGCTAAACACTGGGAAGGTGTGAGTCCTACCGTTCTGTCCTTGTGTTTTCTAGGGTTTTCAGTTTCTTCTGTGGAAGAAGATGGTATTCGAAGGCTCTACGTGAATAGTGTGAAAGAAACGGGCTTAGCTTCCAAGAAAGGTAAGTCTCTGAGAATTCTGTCTGTCTGTCTGTCTTAAATTCCCTTCTGGGTTTCTCTAGTTGGTGGATGAGAAAGACATGCCCAAAGGATTCATCTGTAAAGAATACTGGGATGTTATCTCATGAAAAGCCCCTCCAGCAAATATGGATGTTATTCCATAAACTCAGGTGTGTAAAAAATGACACATGCTTGGATTTTTAAATCTGATTCTGATCCTATTTCCATGAGGCTGGTGGGAAATTCCATGCTAATTTTAAGTGGGCTTCCCTGCTGTCTAGCCTGGATGGAAGTCCTAGGTGTCTTCCTGGAACAGAACTTTTGGGAAGACCCCTCTGGGCATTGGTCCACACTGGTCAAAGCTGACATTGGCCATGGCCTGAGCCTGCAAAGCTCCTTCAAAGCAGATGTTCTCTTGCTGCCATTCATGGAGGAATCTTTGCAGAATTTGACAATCTAGGGGTTCAGGACTCAGCCTTGTTGCTCCCTTTCAGGGAGCTCTTCTCTGCTGCTCTCTGCCTGCACCCCTACAAGGGCTCATAGTGCAGCCTTGGCTACTGGAGGAACCCCAACTCTCCATTCTCTTTCTACTCTGAGAGAATCTTTTCAACCTAGATTTTTTTGCTTCCTATATTGGTTTCCTATGGCTATAGTAACAAATTATCACAAATGAGGTGATTAAGAACAGCAGAAATTTATTCTCTTACAGTTCAGGAGGCCAGTAATTCAAAATCAAGGCTTTGGCCAGGTTGTTTCTTCCTGGAGACTTTGAGAGAAGAATCTGCCTGATGCCTCTTCTTAGCTTCCAGTAGTGCTGGCAATCCTTGGCATTCCTTGGCTTGTAGCTGGATTGCTCTAATTTCTGCCTCTGTCGTCACATGGCCTTCTTTCCTGAGTATCTTTCTGTGTCCTTACACAGCCTTTTTATAGGAACACCAGTCGTTGGATTTAGATTAGTCATCCTAATCTAGTATGACTTCATCCTAACTTAATTATATCTGCAGAGACCCTGTTTCCAAATAAGGTCACATTCTGACATACTAGGTGGACATGAATTTTCGGAGGGACACTATTGAACCCACCCTGCTCACCATAAACAAATTGGGCAGGAAGGTAGGGCTTAAAATCCACTTTCATGTCATCCTTCTTGTTATGGAATTTTTAGTTTCATTCAGGCAGTGGCAAAATGGCATCTGTTGAATGTAAAAGCCCAACACGTGTGGGTAGTGCTGAGATATAAGACCTGTGTCTGTCCTGTTGGAGAGCTGCTGAGTGGATGGAGCAACTTGGAAAATGACAGAATGCCGGCCTTTCCACCTCCTTTCATGTTCTGCTGCAGCTTAGTTCTGGGTGCTCATGGCTTGCAAGCTACCCGTGTGTGTTGTTTTTGCCCTGTGCTCTAAGCATTGGAGAAGCACAACCCACAAACTTGACCATGACAGACATGGCAGACGGGCGACAAATGGGAAATTAAGTCGAAGTAACTTAGACACACCGCTGACTGGCATGGAAGAGGGCTTTCCTTCACTTTCCTTCCACAACTTTCTGGGCTACAGGCAGCCTGGAGGCCAGAGCTTGACACGTTCACCAGGCTGTGTCTCAGCTAAGAGCAGAATCGAGAGGGTTCCTTCCCCTTCAAACCCAAAGACTGATTTTTATCTCTGTCAGCACTGCGAGTGTGCCTGCTGGCATGGTATGGGGGTGGGGAAAGACTCTGGCCTGCTTTCAGTCACATCCTGTTTTAGTTCTTTGAGTCCAAGAACACTGGTGTCAGAAAAAAACAAACGGTCGTCTGCGCCAACCCCTTTGCTTCAGATGGCATTGTTCTCTATGGATGCAAGTGACATCCATTTGTCCACCTGGGCCCCAAACACCGTCCTCAGACCCGGGCCATAGAGGGCAGTGTCAAGAAAGCCGTTTGGGGTATTTTATGTCAAATCTAGCCTCGACGTGAAGACCTCCCAAACTGCAGAGCTCACACTGGGCCACGCAGCCTCTTTGTGGGCATCTCTGATTACAGAACGTCCCCCTCTCGGCTTTCATTCACTATTTGACCTCCTCCTTTATAGACAGCCTTTGCGCTCCATCATGTTCCGATGGCTAAGTCTTGTCTTTTCCACATTCAACACTTCCAGCTCCTTCAACCATTTAGTAGAGTGTAGAATACAGCTCTGGTCGTTGCCCTCTGGACACACACAGTCCAGGTGCCCGCGTTCCTCCTAAAACGACCAGGTGGTGGCGAAGGCGAGAGTCAAGTGGAAGTCAGCCTCGTTGGACCTGAGTATTCTGTTTGCATGAATTCAGCCTGTGTTTGGTTCGTATTTACTTATTTTTGTGAGCCATCTTGAGCTGCTGGCTTGTAGGAGCCGGTGTTTCTCCTCCTTCCTACCCCCTGCTCTCAGTTGGATCTCACATTGGCTGTACTTGTAGAATTGACTTTTTACGCTTCTCTCTGTTGTCCTTGGGTGTGTTTGTCTTGGTCCCTTGTTCTGCTCTTGGAGTCAGCTGAGGCTGGGGTCTGGTGGCTTCCCTGAAGTCATCTAAGTGGTTTTCTGATGGCTTCCCATGACGGAGCCCAGCGGAGAACGCTGTGTTCCCTATTTCTCTAGACAGCTTAGACACTTCACAGCTTTTACCATGGCGGATGGAGATTAGTTCTGAGCAGGCTGCAGTTTTCTGTTAGAAATGTTTTCTTCTTCCTTCAAATGCCTGTTGAATATCTTCAATGTGCCAAGTGCTGTGCTAAGAGTTTTGTATGTATTATTTCATTTACTCTCATTTAACCCAGTGTCCCTCTTACATACAAGCAAACTGAGGCTGGGCAAGATTCAATAACATGCTCGCAGTCACCGAGCTGTCACTGGTGAAGTGACAGAAGGACCCCAGCACAGCACGTTATTGCTCATCACTGCTGGCCGTCTTCTCTCACTTATTAATCCTGAGACTAACTCACTCAGGTAGCCCCCTGTGCTAGTTTGCTAGGGTTTCCATAAAGAACTAACACAAACATGGTGGCTTAAAACAAAAGATCTTTATTCTCTCACAGTTTGGGAGGCCAGAAGTCTGAAATCAAGGTGCCAGCAGGGCCGCACGTCCTTTGAAGGCTCTGGAGCAGACTCCTTCCTGCCTCTAACAGCTCCTGGAGGCGGCAGGCAGTCCTTGGTGTGTGGCCGCTCCCTTCTCCCGATGGCCTTCTTTCGGTGTCTCTTAACAGGACATTTGCCAACATTGTAAGGTGTAGGACCTGTCAGATAAT